GGCTGCCACTACCCAGTGGTGCTAGAGGGAGCATGTGGCCCCAGGCTTGTGCCTGGGGCTCCAGCCCCTGGAGTCCCTTCCCCAGCGCCTCGCTTCTTCCCGTGAAAGCCAAGCCTGACCTGGTTTGGCCCCCAGGGACTGGCCTCGTTCTCACTTGGTTCCTTTGGGTCCCCCCCTGCCCCACTCCAGAGGCTCCATCCTTGCCTCCCTGGACACCTTTAAGAAGATGTGGGTCTCCAAGAAGGAATACGAGGAAGACGGCGCCCGGTCCATCCACAGGAAGACCTTCTAATGCCGGGACATCCTCTTCACCTCTCTCTGAAGTTAACTCCACTTTAAAACTCGCTTTCTTGAGTCGGAGTGTTTGCGAAGAACTGCCTGCGTGTGCGTGTGCGTGTGTGTGGGTGCGGGTGCGGGCGCGGGTGTGGGTGCGTGTCTGAGTGCGTGTGTGTGCGCGGATGCCAGTGCCCTGTGGCCCGGTGACCCCAGGGCCCAGTAAGGACGATGAACGACCACAAGGTGACGGCCGTGGCCCTCAGCTGACCGGGCCCTGGCGGGGCGCCCCACTCCTTCATCAGCTGGGCCTCGGACCGTGTGGGACTCTGCACCATCGGGGGCGAGGGAGGGAGAGCCACACTCCCAGATCATGCTGCTGCCCATCCTAGACGGGGCTCACCGACCCCACCCAGCAGCTGTCCCCCTTGCTTCTCATTCTGTTCTCGGGTCTCCTGATCTCCGACCGAGGACGGGGGCCGGGCGAGCTCTGGCTAGTTTGCTGACGGTTCGGGTTTGGGAGGCAGGAAAGGACGTTTCTCAGCTTTGCGGGGCCCCAGGGCTGCGGCGGGCGTGAGAGGAAGCCTGGGTGTGCTCAGAGACCGTTGGCTCCAGGTCCTGTTTCTTGCTTCACGTCCATCCCTGGGCAATGCCATCATCCTCTAACAGTTTATTTATTGAAGTGTTTGTTCGTTCGGGGACCGGAGAGAGGGAGCTGCTCGCTTCCTGCCCGCCAGTCACCCCATCACACTCATGTTTACAGCACTAGGCTTAGCGTAGCACCCAGGGCCCGCCACTCCCTGCTCCTGTGGCCAGACGGTGTCCCTCAGCACCGTTGGGGTCCCGGCGGCCCTCACCCACTCCCCTTCCCTCCCTCCTCCTCCTCCTCGCGGGCCGGCAACCAACAGGCCTGAGGCTGGCTGGGTTTTCCGACACAGGAGGTAGGAAGCAGAGGTTCTTCGCAGAAGAGGTCTTGGGGGGTCTGGTGCCCGTAGGGCTGGCAGTAGCCACACTGACCAAATTGCCTTTTCTCACTGGAACGACCGAGGGGGCTGGCCTGTGACGGCACGAAGGCCCCACGGGGCGGATTTTGTCCCGTTTTTTGGTCTTTGGACTTGACTGCTCAGGAGGGAGGAGTTCCAGGGGTCCCAGCCCCGGGGGCTGACCTCACAGTGGTCCACACGCCCTTCTGCCCGGATATAGCAGAGCCGGATATAGCAGAGCCGGCTCCCACGCCTGTGACGCCCAGCCCTGTTCCAGCAACGCCCTGAGGCCAGCAGTGCCCCCACTCCTCCTCCCCCGCCCCCCCCACACCGTCTGATGACCAAAGGTCTTGCCAGGTGTGGGCCACAGCAGCAGGTGTGTGTGAGAGCGATGTGGCGAGCCGCGGACTGCAGTGTGCTTAACCAGCTCACCCCCTTCTCTTAGCCCAAGCCTGTCCCCCCGCACAGCCTCGCACAAACCATGATGCCTGGTGGGGCCCATTGTACGTAAATAAAGTCGTTCCAATCTCTGTGTCAGCCTGGTCTTCCTGCAGTCTGTGCTAGTTGAGGGTAGCTGGAAGCGCTGTGGGCCTGGAATCCAACGCCCTGGCCCAGCCTCTAGAGGGCGCTGTCGTCCGCAAAGCCTTATGATTTGGCGGGGGGGGGGGGGGGGGGGGGGGGGGGGGGGGGGTGTCCCCTGCCTGGTTACACAGCTCCAGCTGGGGGAGGTCCTGCACTGAACCTTCTGGCCCACACAGCCAGGCAGAAATCCTTTAGGAATAGATCTAGGGCCCCGCCAACACCTACCGCCCCCCTCAAAAAAAAATCCACCTTTCACATGGGGGGCTAGGAAATGACTCACTGGCCAAAGCATCGGCTGCATAGACGAGGCTGCACATTAGAGCCATCCCAGGGCTGCCCAGTCGGCCATCTGCAGTCTCGGTGTCCCTAATAGTCATCCTGCAGCCCAGGTATGTGCGAGCAGGCCTAAAGGGGCGATGGTCAGGGGCGCAGCTCCACCCGCCAAGTTCTGGGACCAGAATGTGCAGGAACATCCCCAACTGAAGGGGTCCGCCCTGGTGAGCACCACAGTCACGTGTGCCTAAGACCCACCCAGTCAGTTCAACAGCAAAGGAAAGGGGGGAGGTGTAGATCAAAGACCAAGGAGCTGAGTGACACGTTGGTGGGTCCGAGTACTGGCAAACAGGAAGCAGATGCTCTGCATGTGGAAGGTTCAAGCCTCAGCACCACATGCTCTTCTGAGCACACAGGTAGGACCCCCCAAATGCTTCCAGGTGGGACCCTCCTATTCTGACTAGTCAGCTCTACAGACAGGCATTTGGGCCCCGCTCAGCAGTGCTCAGAGGCTACTCCCTGCAGAGCTTCGCGGACCGAGTGGGGCTGGGGATCAAACCTGGATATCCTACGAAGTGCAACGTATTCACTCAAGCCCCCCTTCGTTTTAGTACTTTTCCCCCTTCCTTTCCCTTTATGATCCTGTCACTGCTGTGTGGACTTGGGTTCTCATGCACAGTTCGTTGTGGTGCTCACCAGGCATCTCACGCCTTTATTTGTGCAACACTCCAAAGGTTGTACTCGGCACATGGAGTTGTGCCTGGGATCGAACTCTCGGCCTCATGCCTGAAAGTTCCCCACGGCTACCATTTGAAATTTGTACTGGGGTGAGGGGGCAGCTGTCAGGCACTTTGCAAATGTTAACTCCTAGCAGCCCTACAAAGTGTTGGTATTTTATTTTCCACTTTACAGATGTGGAAGTAGAGGATGAAAAGATCTATTTCCTAGAGCCCGAGGGTCCACCTTCTTTTCCTGAGGGGAGAGAGATCCAAGAGGCAAGGCAGAACCTCTTACATGCTAAGCATGTGCTGTCATACTGAGCTCCACCCCTGGCTCCAGAAGAGCCAACTTTTTTTTGGGGGGGGTCACACCCAGCGATGCTCAGAAGTTACTCCTGGCTCTGCACTCAGGAATTACTCCTGAGTGTGTTCAGGGATGCTGGGAATCAAACCCAGGTCAGCCACATGCAAGGCAAACCCCCTACCCACTGTGCTATCATTCCAGCCCCCAGAAACATTCTTATACACCGTGTAGCCCCTAAAAAACCTACTGACCTAGTACAAGAGTTAAGGAACTTGCCTTGCATGAGGCCAAGCCAGTTCAATCCCTAATACTGCTCAGGGGACCCAGCATTATCAGACACCAAACCTGGGCCTCTTGGACACAATGCATGCACTCCAGCTTTTGACTGATCTCCCCAGAAAGAATTATTGAGGTTGGGTCTGGTTTTGCATAAGACACAAGGAGGCTTCCAGAGCCAGAGAGAGAGCACAGCGGGTAGGGTGTTTGCCTTGCATGCGGTTGCCCCAGGTTCGACCCTTGGTACCCCATAGGGTTCCCCAAGCACCACCAGGAGTAACTACAGTACAGAGCCAGGAGTAATCCCTGAGCATCACCAGAGGTGACCCCAAAACAAAAACAAGATTAAAAAAAAATGACGCCTTAAAAACTACTCCCAGTTCTGTGCTCAGAAGCCCTCACAGTGCCAGGGACTGGACCTACACGCAGAGCATATGATCAGTCCACTCAGCTGTCTCCAGTTCCGAAGAAAACTTTTTTTCTTGTTTGTTTTGGGGACACACCCAGCAGTGCTCAGGACTTATTCCTGGTTCTGGACTCAGGAAGTCTCCTGGCAGACTCCAGGGATCATTTAGGATGCTGGAGATCAAACCTAGGTTGGCCTCGTGCAAGATCAAAGGCCTCCTCTCTGTACTATTGCTCCAGCCCGTGCCCCTGCTTTTTCAAAAAAGATGCACAACAAAGACCAATCCAGCCCCAAATGTCGCTTGTGCCCAAATGTCGCCTGAGAAGTGCCAACCTAGCACAGAAACTCTTCTCTCAACTGAACGCAGATGTCCACGCCAGACCCCAGACCCTGGAATGAAAATCCAGGGGGATAGGCCTCACGTCCGTCGGTCGGAAAGCTCCTTAGAATCACCAGAGTAGTTGGAGTGGCCGAGAAGCAGCCCCTTCCCTGCCCGCGGTGCCCAGCAACAGTCGGGGGCAACGGGCCAGGACGACAGCCACAGGCCTGGAAGTTCCTTCACTCTCAGGCTACACACCCCAGGGCAAATGTCCTTGGGTGCTCCTCCTATTCAGGGAGGAGGACTGGTGGCCACTTGCACTGCCCCTCCCAGTGCAGGCCTCAGGGACTCAAAAGAATGACTGACTTTAATCCAGCTGGAATGACACACACCTCATCGGTGGGGATGGGGGTGGAGGAGGGTTTCCTGCAGTGCCAGGGTGGGGGTTGGGGCCGGTGCAACTTCAGGCACAGCTGAAGCAGGGGACTGTGAGAAAGCACTGGAAGAAGGGTGGAGGGGAGTGGGTGGGTCTCGAGAAAGGGGGTCGACGTATCAAAAAATGGTTCCTGAGCCCGCACAGCGCACCAGCGCCAGCCCCGGCCGTCAGTGGACGGGCCAGCCCTGGCCCCCGTGCCTCTTGGTCCTCGTCTTCCATCTACGCCACAGGCGGGGCAGATCCCTGAGCACATCTGGAGTCATCTTTCCCGGGACTGGACAGCTGCCGGAGCTGAGAGCCTGGGACGCCTCAGTCTCATGAGTCCCTCTCATGCCCCGTCCTGCAGGCTGCACGTGAGGAAGGCGGGTGGGGGGAGGGGGGGAGGAGGACACCGGGCTGGCCAGTGGCGCCCGCCCCAGCCCTGGTGGTCTCCTCAACACAGCGGCCCCGCCGCCACCGGCTCACACCGTCTTCACGTCCAGGGGCTGGGCCTGGGCCAGGCTCTGGCGCTGGGCCTTGACCATGTGCAGGCGGCTCCCGTGCAGCGTGAACCGGGACCAGGTAAAGAGCTGCAGCAGGGCACAGGTGATGGGCACCAGCACCAGCAGGTAGAAGCAGCCCTGGCGGAGCGAAGGCGCCGGTGCTGGCGGCAGGGCCGGGGGCTCTGGCCACGGCTGGGCGCTTCCCACGGGGGCCAGCAGAGGCTGCTGGAAGAGGTCGTGACCTGGGGCAGAGCAGGCAGGAAGAGCAGGGTCAGGGGCCCGCGAGAGAGCACAGGGGGCGAGGCACCTGTCTTCACACAGCGGACCCCGGTTCCAGCACCCTCACTGCACACGGTCCCCCGGGAGTCCCTGAGACATCTCCTGCCCCGCCACCAAAAGAGATGAAGAGAAGGTCAGCCCAGCTTCCTCCCACAGCGCCATCACTGTGCCACAGACTGCCCACTCCCCCCAATGACCCTGTGTCCCCCGTTCTCCCTAAGGGTGAACAGCACCAACTCCGCTCAGTCTCTGGGGTCCAGCACACCCCAGGACCAAACACATCTCAGAGCAAACATTCTTCCCACCCCCCTTCCAGGTACCCCCAGGACCCAGCCTCAGAGGCAGCCACGGCCTCCCTCCAGCCCCCTCACCAAGCAGCCCCCAGCAGCTCACAGTTCAGACCCGGCACTGTCGCGGGGTCTCTGTCCATCTCCCCGCCTCCCCTTCCGGCCTCCTCTCCCGGCCGCCCCAGCCCCGGGACCTCGGCATGAGCTGCTCCCTCTCTCTGGAACTCAGGTTCTTTCTAGCACCCAATCCTTGCAATCAGCCCACGTCTTGAGCATCACCCCCGGGGGGGAGACCTAAGTCCCCATTAAGTAGCTTCTTCTCAGTCACAGAATTTTTACCATCACACAAACCACGCGGGGCATTTTTTGACTTGGCTGTAACAAAAGCCCGTCCCTTCCCCCAAACTGGAATATGAGTGTCATACGGGCAAGTCCGGTTCTGCCTTGCGGTGACTGCCCTAGATAAGCGCGAAGGGCAATGCCTGGCCCAGAAGGGGCATTTGTGAATGAGTGGGCGAGCCAAGGGACAAAGGGAAGAGCCTTCCCTGACACCCAGGGGGCGGCCAGAGGCGGCCCAGCAGCAGGGTGGACAGGCCAAGGGTGGGCCAGAGGCCATGCCCTCCCTTACTGCCCCTAGGGCCCCAGGAGGGGGGGGATGCTGCCCAAGCCTGCAGAGCCTGCTGCCTGCCCCGCCCCGCCCCTCACCTGTGTAGAAGCACAGCAGCCAGGTGCCCAGCAGTGGGGCGAAGGTCTGGCCCGGCTTGGTCACCAGCGCCACCATGCCAAAGAGGAGCGCCGAGGCGGCCTGCTTGCGGCGGTTCAACACCAGGTCCTCGTCCACCAGGTCCGTGACCACCAGGGTCAGCAGCTTGCAGGTGCCCTCGGTGAACACGCGGTTGCTGGCCGGGACGGAAACGGGGAGAGCGTGAGGGCGCGGGGCAGCGGAGGGAGCGGGCCGGGGCGGGCAGGGCAGCAGGTACCTGGCGATGAAGAGGCAGAGCAGGCCGGGCCGGTCGGGGCCAGCCAACAGCATGAGCACACTCAGGCCCAGCTTGAGCACGAAGAGCCCCCGCACCACGGCGTAGGCTCCCCAGCGGCGGCACAGGGACAGGAAGTAGAGGTTGTTGAGGTGGGGTGCAACATAGGAGATGCCTGGGGCGAGACGGGGTGCAGCCGGGTCAGGGGGGCCCCCATCGGCGTTCAGATGCCTGGGCTACGAGCGTCTTATCCGTGGCTTTCATGCCCACGGTCCCTAAAGCTAAGTACAGTGATGATCCTACTTGACAGATGAGAAATAGAGGCCCAAAGAAATGGCGGAGTGGGGGGGGGCGAGAGAGGGGAGGAGAGGAGGAGGGAGGGTGGGGAGGGGCCCTTGCCAGTCACTACCCGCACCCAGGCCTCGGGCTGCTCAGCAGACGCTGCAATACGCCGCCTCGCCTCTGGGTGGCACCATCACCAGGAGAAGCGCAGAATCGAAAGCAAGCACTCCCACCCACCCCGCACCCCCACCCCACCCTCACCCCCTTCCCTAGTGGCTGCCTGCGACTCCTTAGGAGAAGAGAGGTGAGACCACCGGGGCTAGATGAAAACCCCCGCAGCAGCTTCAGCTGGTTGAGCGGCTGTGTCTGCAGCCAGGACAGGATTCTGGGTACAAGTCTTTCGTCTTTGCCACCTGCCCAAAGCCCCCACTCACCCAGCAGGAAGGAGCCTGTGGAGAGGGAGATGCGGTCAGCCAACAGGTGCTCCAGGAAAAGGGGGAAGAAGTTGCTGTTGAAGTGACAGTGAAACACCTGCAACCCAACAGGGCCCGTGAGACTGCGCACAGAGGAGCGCGAGAGCCACAGGGGGGCGCTGCCCCCCATCCTTTGAGCAGCCTCATTCTACCCCCTTGGAACAGAACCTAAAACCAAATCCTGGAGTTTATTTTATTTTTTTTCCCAAGCTTTAAGGGATTATTCAATTACCACTAGAACAACTGAAAGTTTGTTTTTGTTTTTTGTTTTTTTTTTGCTTTTTGGGTCACACCCAGCGATGCACTGGGGTTACTCCTGGCTCTGCACTCAGAAATTACCCCTGGCGGTGCTCAGGGGACTATATGGGATGCTGGGAATCAAACCCAGGTTGGCCACGTGCAAGGCAAACGCCCTACCCGCTGTGCTATCGCTCCAGCCCCAAACAACTGAAAGTTTCTTTGCCATTGAAAACACCCTCGTGAAAAATAAACAATGACATAAATGCGAACTATTTCTAAATTTGGCTAGGCAGGTTGTAGGTCTGGCACATGGTATTCTGAAAGTTGTTGTCAAAAGGTCAAGGATGTGGCTCAGCAGTTAAGTGCATGTCTCACATGGGCGAGGCCCAGGATTCAATCACCAGCACCTCAACAACAACAACAAAGATTTAAAAAAATAAAAATGGTTGGGGCCGGAGAGAGAGTACAGTGGGTAGGGTATTTGCCTTACATGTGGCCGACCCAGATTAGATTCCCAGCATCCCATATGGTCCCCTGAGTAACTGCTGGGGGCAGTCAGGGGTAACCCCTGAGCATCGCTGGGTGTGACTCCCAACCCCCCCTCCAAAAAAAAGGATTGTCAAAAGTCCCCGAAGCCCCGTAACTGGGTAGGGGTTACTAAGTGATTAAATGCTGTAAGGTTGATCCTGGGAACCCCAAAAGTCAAACCTAGAGGTGCTTGGAAGCCACCAAGTCTACATGCAGTGGTGCCCAGGGGACCACGCAGTGCTGGGGTAGATCTGAGGCATGCAGAGCGGACACTCGGGCCCTTTGAGCTATGTCCCCAAAGCAAAGGCATATCTTTCACTTTTCCTAGAGGAGGACATGGCTGTAGCCGGCCTGGATGCACAGGAAGTTAAAAGCTCAGATGCGGGGCTGGAGAGATAGCACAGCGGGTAGGGCGTTGGCCTTGCACGCGGCCAACCCGGGTTCGATTCCCAGCATCCCATATTGTTCCCTGAGCACTGCCAGGAGTAACAACTGAGTGCAAAGCCTGGAGTAACCCCTGTGCATCGCCAGGTGTGACCCAAAAAGCAAAAAAAGGGAAAAAAAGCTCAGATGCTGCTGGACTCAAAGCATCTTAGCCTAGCCTGGACTCCCGCCACCAGATCATGCTGCAGTCCTCATTCATGGCCCAGAATGGATTTCCAGCCTTAAATGCATCTGGGGTTGGGGGTGGGGGGTGCTCCCCATACCTGCACCAGGTCCATGCCCACGAACCACAGGAAGTTCCGGTGGCGTGCCAGCTGCCGCAAGTACTGGCCCAAGGTGATGCTGCCCGTCTCCTCGCCCCCCACCAAGAGCCGCTCTCCGCACAGGCTAAAGGGCAGAAGGGTGTGAAGAAGGAAGGGCTGAGTCTGGGCCATGGGTCAACACCGCCTCCCCCACCCTGGGGAATCATCCCGCAGTGCCGGAACCAGACTGGGAGGGGGTGGGTGGGGAGCCGGGAGCCCGCACCCAGTCACTCACCTGCCATCCTCAGCCAGGGCTGGGCAGGCAGGCTCCCTGCTGGTGACCTCCACCCGCTGCCTCAGCAGCTGGGTGGCCCCCACGAAGCCCAGGCCAGAGCCAGCGGCCAGTGCCACACAGAAGGCACGGAAGGAAGAAAAGTCCTCCTTGTTCCAGAAGGCATAGGAGGCGAAGACCGAGAGGGAGCCGGCCGCGCTGAACAGGGAGCAGTAGAAGTTGAGGTGGGTGCGGCCGTGGGCCGAGACGGCCAGGTCAGCCAGCAAGGCGTGGTGGTGCAGGTCCACGAGCGTCAGGAAACCGTCGTAGAGGCACAGGCAGAGCAAGAACTGCAGGCCCGCGGGAGCCCAGGGCACCCAGAAGGCCAGGAACGACAGCGCCAGCAGCGGCCCGTGCCAGCCCAGCGCCCGCACCCGGGCCAACACCACGGCCCTGGAGGAGAGCTGGGGGCCCGACCTGCCGGGGACAGGAGGGATGTTGGGAGATGCCCCGCAGCCTGGGCCTGGGCCCCCGAGGCGGGAAGGAGGCCAGGGGGTAGACCTCACACTGGGCAGTTCCGCTGGGCCCTAATTCCTCTGCCCTCCATGTTCCTCCAGTGGGTACACGCGCTCCTCTGTTCCCTTGCCAGCCTGCCCTGGGCTAGCAGCCAGGGTAGAGGAAGACCCACTTCTCAGGACTGGGGGCGGGAGCCTGCCAGAGCCACCGAGTCTGTGGCCTGGCCCAGCTTTCCGGCCTGAGAGCCACCAAACAAGCTGGGGGCACATCACCCCATGCAAGCCAGACCACTTCCACAGCCTAGACACAGAGACCTCAGGAAGCGGGGAACCGGATCACAGCTAAGGTGCCCGTCCCCACCCCCCACCATTCCCAGCCATGGGGGGAGAGGGCAGGGAGCAGGACAGTTATGAGTCATCCCCAAGACACAAACCGGGTCTGAGAGCTCAGAAACCGACGGTCACTCAGCCAGCCGAACAGGGGGTCGTTGAGGCTGTTCCAGAGGAGAAACACGGCCTGCGGGCACAGGGGAGAGGAGGCGGGGGGCTTCAGGGCCCGGCCCCTGTCTGCTCGCCACCTCTCAAAGGTGGGTAGGGTCCTCGCCTTGCCTGTGGCCGGCACAGGTTTAATCCCCAGCCCCCCCTGAGCAAAGCCAGGAGCAAGCCCTGAGCACCGCCTGGTGTGGCCCTCCAGAACAAAACAAAAAGAAGACCCCATTTTCCTAGGGGCAGCCTTTTCTCATGCCCGTGCCCCTGCTAAAACCAGGCCACCCGGGACTGTCCGTCTCGACACCCCCAGCAGACCACCAGCTGGGAGATGGAAGCACATCAGCACACACCCGTGGGCACAGAGTGTCGCCCTGAGAAGACACCAGGGCCTCCAGCCCCTCACACCACTGGGGGCTGGGGGTGCCCGGCAGGCAAGACACCCCACTGCGGGCCTACCTCTCCGACCCAGAAGGCCACTTTGTTGATCTTGTACACGGAGACAAAGGTGTCCACATAGTAGAGCAGGAACACATTGTGCAGGACGGAGATGAAGAGGGCCAGGGAGCCATAGACCAGGGCTGTGGGCAGGCCCAGCAGCCAGGCCTGGAGCCCACCCAGCCCCGCCACTGCCATCCCAGTCTCAGGCCCCGAAGCTCTGAGGGAGGTGCATGGCCACGGGCTGTCTGGCCATCCTTGTCCCTGGGGGAAGAAGGAGCCGGTTAGCGACAGGGATCAAAGCCAACCAGCTCCTAACCCCAGACCCTGAGCTCCGACAGACTCGGTCCCGCTGGGAGAACACTGGTGTGTGAGATGAGACCCAGCCGGGAAATTATCTACAAAGTGTGGCTTAAAGCACCAGAGCCGGCCGCCACTACCCGGGACTAACCCCAGGCAGCTGAGAGGCGTGGGAAGGGAAGGCAGGCGGCCAACCCGAGCCAAGCCAAGTCATGTGCTCGGGACCTCCTACGAGCCCTGTGTCTGGGACAGAACCCTGGGCTCGCTGAAGCAAAGCGCCTGCAGGACAGCCTCCAGCAAGCGACTGAGATACTCAGCCAACTCTCCTTGACCGCTTCTGTGAACCAGAAATGGGGGGGGGGGGCGGAGGGGGTGCTGGGGTAAGGGCCTCAGTGGCAGAGCACGGGAGCTGGAGCAACAATGCAGCGGGTAGGGTGTTGCTCTGCATATGGCCAGCGGGGGTTCAATCCCTGGCACTCCATATGGTCTCTTAACCCCACCAGGAGTGAGCGCAGAGCCAGGGGTAAGCCCCAAGCACTGCTGGGTGTGGTCCAAAAGCCAGTCAACCAAACAACAACCCCAAAAAAGTGTAGAGCGCATGCCTAGAATGTGCCAGGCGCTCAGTTTGATCACCAGCATTCCTTGGCCCGTAGCATCCCTGAGTGTAACCCTGGTGGTCCTGAGCATCACGAGAAAGGAAGGGGGGTGGGGTGATCCAGTCTCAAAATATGCTCACTAAATGACGTTGGTGGTACTGTTATTTTTATCAGATCCCTACAAAGTTCACGGCACTGTAACAATATTACAGGGGAGTAAACTGAAGCTCAGAGACTCTAAGTGATTCATCCGATGTCACACAGCAAAAAAGATTTGAAGACAGGTATAGCATGTCAGGTAAGCCTTGTATGCTGGCAACCCTGGTTCAATCTTTAATACCACGTATGGTCCTCCGAAAACTGCCAGGAGTGATTCCCTGAGCACTGAGTAAAGCCCTAAGGACCGTGGATTATGGCCCAAAACCAAAAGAAAAAAAAAAGAAAACAAAAAGGAGAAAGAGAGGGATTTGAACCAAGTCCAGCCTGGTTACTAAACCTTTTCTGTTACTTGATCTCTCACCTGCTACTCACGTTCCAATGCACATAGGGCCGAACAGGAAAAGATGCTGTGGTATCAGTTTACTTAGGCAGGTAAGAGTGATAAAAATCCCCAACTGCTCCTGTACTTCGACTCTACATATTCACCTCAGGGAACTAACCTAAAGGAATGTATGCAAAGGTGTTCATGGCACCAGCACTTACAAACAGCAAAAAGTTGGCACAGGCCAAAGACGCAAATAAGGGACTGTCTGAGCAAGCAGAACGCTCTGCAGGAAGGTCTCCTCAACGTGTGGGAGAGAAGCTCAAGGATATGCCTCAGGAACAAAGAACAAAGAAGCACAGTGTCAGGTTTCCAAGCAGGACAACTCAAGCACAGAGCGGGCCCAGTGCCAACCGCGGGAAGGAACTCAGAGCCAGTGCTTTCAGCGGGCAGTGCTCCTCCACACGGCCTCCCGGGGAAGCCTGGTCCCCACAGACATAGCGACTGGGAAGGGCTGCGAAGGCCCAAGGTCCTACACTTTGATTTTCACTCTGTTTGGGGGCAGGGAGCACCGGGCCAGATCCTGGACTCCTGCGTGTGAAACGTGTGCTCCTATCTCTGAGTCATCAGCCCAGCCGGACATTCTGCAACCACACAAGGCTCCCGGCGAGCCACTGGCCCAGGGCCAGAGTCCAGGCAGCAGAGAGGCGTCGCATCTGTCTTGTTATTTCCTCTGCATTTGGGAGCCGGAAATAATCAGGGACTCTTCCTGACTGTTCTGGTGGCTCCGGCCCACGGGGCACCAAGGATGGTACCTGGGCTCAGCTCACTGAACTCTCTCTGGCCCCTGCACTTGGTTCTAAATCTGCAAGCTAGACTAAGGTTATTGTTAGCAGACAAATAGAAAATAAGCATTTAGGATGATAAATGAGGGGCCCACTTGAGAGATTATTACTATGAAAAACTTTCAGACCTTCTGTAGGATGAAGAGTCCCTCAGAGAAGGTGAGGGGGCTTTAGATTTATTCTGCTTTTCTCATTTCAGAAAATAAATCCCCAAGTAAATCTTGACCTCATTAGGAAAGCTGTGGGGGAGGGAGCAGGGTCTTCCTTCTGCCAAAGTCCCTAAGTTGAATGTGCCCCCTCTCCTCCTTCCACCCCCAAAATACCTTCATGTCCTAACACCAGGACCTGGGAGTGTGACCTGATTTCAACAGGATCTCTGTAGTTGTAAACAACTTAACTTTGAAGTCAGACTGCTGGGAGGTACCCAGAGCCTATGGCCAACATGGCACAAGAGAGAGCAAACTGGACAGAAACCCACGCAGAGGGACGCGAGAAGCTGCGAAGGCGGAGAAGGTGCAAAGGCAAACAAGGTGCAAAGGTGAAGAAGGTGCAAAGGTGAGGAAGGTGCAAAGGTGGAGAAGCTGCAAAGGAGGAGTGATACAGCTCCAAGCCAACAGACTCCCAGAACTAGTCACCAGAGGAGACTGGATGAGGCAGATTCTTTCCTTTCTTTTTTTTTTTTTTTTTCCTTTTTGGGTCACACCTGGTGATGCACAGAGGTTATTCCTGGCTCTGCACTCAGGAATCACCCCTGGCGGTGCCTGGAGCCTCCAGAGGGAGCACGGCCCTGTGACCCTGTGATGTCTTGGTTTCGACCCAGACACTGAGAGTGTGAGAGCCCATTTTGGTTGTTTCCAGGCAGCCCGTGTGGGGTCCGTGATGCTAGACAGGCCTGGATACTCGCACTGGCCCTTGGGCCGTCTCTGCTCAGCCATGTACAGGCACACGGCGGGGCAGCCACTTCCGCTTCCCATCAGTCAGGCCCTGAGAGTCCAGCAGGAGCAGCAGCAGCCCCAGGACCTGTCCTGGCCCGCCGGCCTCCTCGGCTCCTCTCCCTGCCCAGCCTGCCAGGGCCTCCTGCTTGGCCCATGCCGGATCAGTTCTTCAAGCCGGCTCTCCTCCGACCAGGCCTTTGCTCTTGAACCTTGCTGCCTCCACCCTCTACAACCTGGGGCGGGGCAAAAACATTTCAGGCAAAGAGAAGTCACAAGGAGAGAAAGTTTAAGCCGCCCGGTTCTAAAACACTTAGGGAAACGTGTTGAGCACTTTGGAGATTAAGTACCAATAACCCTTTCAGAGCTCCATAAAATGAAAAGGACCCCATACAAGGCTGGGGTGCTCGATGCTAGAACTCAGTTTATTCTGTCATTCTCCTTCTAAATTTTATGCATTAGGGTTCTGGGTCCACCGGACTCCGCGCCAGGCTGTTTTCACTAGGGGCTCCCCAGAGGGGGGTGTGTGAGAGCCCTCCCCATCCCAAGAGACCCAGCCCCAGAAGCTGACCTCCACTGCCCAACCACTGCCATGCTCCAGGATGCTTTCCACATGCTCACATCACTGTATCACTGTCATCCTGTTGTTCATCGATTGCCTCGAGCAGACCCCAGTAACATCTCCTTCATCCTAGCCCTGAGATTTTAAAAAGTGCCACATTCGAGGCTCTTTCAGGGTCAGGAGGATGAGACCCATTATTGTTACTGTTTTGGGCATACTGAATACACCATGGGGAGTTTGCCAGACTCTGCCGTGTGGGCAGTACACTCCTGGTAGCCTGCCAGGTTCTCTAGAGTAAGAACTAGATAATAAGATGTCGCGAGGCTGCAAATGCGGCCGCGCGCTTCCAGGAGCAGGGTTTTATAGTCTCTGAGTCTTTGCCGTTGATGGGATTACATAGTGTGTGTGTGTGGGGGGGGGAAGTTGATGGGTGGAACACCTACATACTGGAAGATGGGGGATCTGCATGGAGGAGGCCCAGTCCCAATTCGAGCAGGCTTGGAGATCTACGCCCCAGGTCCCATACACCTGGGTTCCTTGGCCCAGTGAACATATTCCTGGCCACTTTCACGGCCGCGTAACACATCATAAGACACCCCCTACCCATTTTCCATAATTACCACGCCATATTTGATGGGATTCAGACAGCAGGCAACAAATCATAGAGGGAAATATAGATATATATGTCTCTCAGAGAGCCCGGCAAGCTACCGAGAGTATCCTGTCCGCACAGCAGAGCCTGGCAAGCTACCCGTGGCATATTCGATATGCCAAACACAGTAACAATAACGGATCTCATTCCCCTGACCCTGTAAGAGCCTCCAGTGCAGAAGCATTGGGAAAGATGAGTAAAGAGAGGCTGCTAAAATCTCAGGGCTGGGACGAACGAAGACGTTACTGGCGCCCGCTCAAGTAAATCAATTAACAAGGGGATGACAGTGATACAGTGATACAGGGGTTCTGGGGCCATACTCAGCAGTGCTCAGCAGTTACTCCTGGCTCTGTGCTCAGGAGACCAGGGAAGGAAACGGGGTCTGCAGGGCCAGCACCTTGCCTCCTGTCCTCTGTGGCTCTCGTCTTTGTCCTGGTCACTTTCTCTGATCCCCAGTGCCTTTCAGCACTCTGTGCTGCATGGTCAAAGCCTGTGCAAGAAGTGAGGCGTCTGCCACCAACCAGATGCCAATGGCCTGCCTGTTTGCTGGACGGGAGCCCGATCCCCACCTGTGACCTCATGCACCTGGGGAGAGCTTGGTTTTCCATCCCAACCACACCTCCTGTGAACAGCGGTGACACAGACAAGATGATGATGAATCTGCCTGAGCCTTGGTTCCCTCACCTGTAAAATGGGGGGTAACACAGCCTATGTTGATGGGAGGGCGAGAGGACTAAAGGAATAGTTCAGAAGTACCATATCTATTGGGTAGAAACCACTTTGAAATTGACTCTTTCTGGGCTGGCTTACAGCAGGTCAGGCAAGGGCAGGGGAACCTCTGTTTTTGTACTTTTTTTTTTTGCCTTCTGGGTCACACCGAGTGATGCTCAGGAATTGCTCTTGGAGGTGCTCAGGAGATCATATGGGATGCCAGGGATTGAGGAATCAAACCCGGGTCAGCAGCATGCAAGGCAAACCCCCTCCCCTCTATACTATTTGGCTGGTGGGGGAACCACGAATGAGAAGCAGTCCCTTGAACAGAAGCAGATAGGAACAGGGCCCAGGAGAGTCAGAGAAGGCCTGCAAGGATCAGAAAGCCCCTACAGAAGGAACCAGAGGCCCCACAATCTGTCCGCAGCTGCGGGAGGTTTCACTTCCGCGCCTGTTTCTCCCCCGGAAATGAACCCCCCCATCTCACTCTGTCCGAGCAGAGAACAACAGTCGTGCTTTTCTGGGGAGCCACAGCCTGGGGCCCACACCCAGGCTCCTGGCATAATCTAGGGAGAGGGGTTTGATCACCTTCTGACAATCCCATTTCCACCCTGGCATGGTCCAGGGAGCCCCATGGCCTGAGTCCATCCCATCCCTTTGCTGGCCTGCCTTGAACCAGTCACTTCAATCATGCCCCCCCTAACCCAACTAAATCTGTCACCTGGTCTACAAAGTGGGGGTGAGAGTAACCGATTAGGGGCCAGAGTGACAGTACAGCGGGTAGGGCATTTTCCTTGCACACGGTTCACCTGGGTTTGATCCCCAGTATCCCATATGGTCCCCTAAGCACTGCCAAGAGTAATTCCTTCATGCAAAGCCAGGAGTAATCCCAAAGTATCACCAGGTGTGACCCCCCCCCCCAAAAAAAAGAAAGAGTGTTATCTTAGAAATTGTGGAAATAAAATGCAAGAAATGAGGCACCAAGGATATAATGTCTGGCACAGAGGCTGCTTAATGGACCATAAAGGACACTTTCCATGTCTCTGGGGTTGGGTTTTGTCACTTTAAAGGGCTTCCGTTTCTGTTCCCTTTGCCAAATCCATGGTTAAGTTGTCCTGCCAGTATCCAACCCTGAGGCCTCTCCCTGCCAAGCATATCCTGCCTTCCCCCAAATTCTTTTCTAAAAGCCACCTCCACACCTTTGTTCCTGCTGTTCCTTCCATCTAAAATACCCAATAAAGAACTACACTCCATTCTCAGGCAGAAGTGACATGCCTGGCTTGCACACATCATCACCCTGAATCCTAATGATCACTTGACATCCTGTTACTCATCAATTTGCTCAAGCAGGCACCAGTAATGTCTTCATTCCAATTGTAATGATACCTTATGAATTTCAGATCCATTTTATAAACAAACAAAGCAAGGCTCTGATGGTGAAATACTTGGTCCCAAACCTCAAAGTTCTTAGGTGCTAGGACCAGTATTCACAAAGGTGCTTTAATTTAAAGAACTTGATTTCTGGGGAAATTTCAATGTCCCCACCGAGTGTGGCCCCCAAACAAAGACACACAGACCTCACATCACCATGCCCCTCACGCCACCTCCACACTAAGGTAATTGAATGAATGATGACCTAGGTTTGGTCCCCAGCACTGCAAAACAATTAATAATGCTGCTGATTCCAGACTCAGTTTGGCATCACAAGCCTTCCTGAGTATCCCAAGTCACGGATTCTCACCCCATTCTACCCCTTAGCTCCTGTCTCAGGACCCAAATGCCGCCTTCATTCTCTTCCTGCCAGTAAGCTCAGTTCCTTGTTAGTGGCGCCAATTCCTGCTCCTGCGTTTACCAGCCTCCACCACAGAGAAGATGCTCAAGACCAGCTGGGCTGCACCCCTGAAAAGGCAAGAATGGCTGCTACAGCCCTGGGAGAGAAGAGGAGATGCCATAGGAGGGGGGCCCACTGTGATCCTCCTTTTCTGCTGGAGCAGGAGGCAGAGAGAGGCAGCCCCTGCACCCCGCTGAGTAGAGCCAGCTAGCCAGGCCAGAAAGAAACACTAACAGCAAAGTTGACACATCTTCAACTTTTACCCAGTGCCACTCTCCCCGCCTCCAGAAAACCACCTGGGAGAAGAGCTCAGAGCAGAGAAAGAGCATCAGAGCAGTTACGCTAAGAGGGAAGCTGAGAGGGAAGCGGGAGAAAGGGTTTTGCAAACCACCTGGGGGACAGTGATCTCCAGGGAAGGAGCCCCGTTTTCCGGCCGCTGGGCGATAAAGTCCTGGAAACAGTAGCCCCTCCTGGATTTCTGAAGCAACGACAGTGAGTGGGGAGGGGGTGGAGGGCGGTGGATTGGGTAGAGCAAACCAGGCATGCCAGAGCAGACCCCTGGAGCCAGGGGTGGCACTGAGCTGGTGGGCGTTTGCTTCTGCGGGTCTAGGGGAGCAGGGAGAGGGGGCTGCCTATCGGTAAGCATGATGTAGAACGGGGAATCCCGGGCGAGGAGCGCGCTTGGTCCTCTCTCGCCGCAGCCGAGAAAACACAACGTCCCTTCCCGGGAGTTGGCGGAAACGGAGGGAGGGTGTAAATACCCTATGCAAATATTAGGAGTGCTGACCTCTGAACTGCCCGCTGTTTCCCCTTTCACATCCCGGCTCCCCGGCTCCCCGCGCGGCCTCACCCCCCACCTCCCCCGCGCAGAGACGGCCCGGCCAGGGGTCACCCTCCGTCCCATTACTGATGGTTGCATCCTCCTCAAGCGGGAAATGAAGTTGCACCTGATTGCAGGAGGGACCTTCTTCCTTTCCGCCGGTGGCCACGGCGCTCGGGCGGGTGAGCAGCTTCGCCGCGGGGCGCAGTCTGAGCCCAGCCCAGGTGGCCCCGTGGCTAACTGAAAGCCGGCGCTGAAGCGTGCGGTGGTTCTGCAGTCCATCCGCGCGTTACATATCGGCCGACGGGCTGCTCTGCAATCCCGAGGTCCAGGCATCACCCCAACTAATCCAATCGGAATCTCCAGGGGTCGGGCCCCCGCTTCTGCGTTCCTTTCAAGCTCCCCAAGGGTTTCTACTACGCCACTAGGGGTGAGAACCATCGTGATAATGAAATGATCTCAGCCTGATGAGTGGATGACACGGATCCCCATCAGATGCGCCCCGCTCTCCCCGCGCCCTCCCCTGCCCGCTGCAGCTCTCACCCTGATCCGGGGGCGCACACGCCTGCACCCCATCCAAGGTCTCTCCCAATCCACAATCTCATCACTTTAAGGACCCTGCAAAATCCCTCACGACTCCCTGACAGGCAACGTTCCTACCCTCCTTGGGTCTGCCCTTGGGTCTGCGTGGCCCCCACATTCGCCCTGCCCCGGACTCCCGGCCACCCGGCAGCCCCTCACCGCAATCGAGGTAGTCGAAGCCTCGTCCCGCGGCTGCCCAGCCAGGTGCGAGCCAGCGCGCCTGCGCACAAGCGGCCGCCGGCTTTCACAACTCAGGCCCCGCCCCCACCCAGCGATTGGCTCCGCGCCGCTGGACCTCAGTCCTGCAGGTGGCCAAGCGCGAAGCTGCCGACGCCATATTTGTCGAGGGCTACTGCCCTTACTGATCAAACCGAGTTCGATCCCCATCCCTTCATAGGGTTCGCTCGAGCCCAGCAAAAGTGGTCCCTAAGCGCAGGGTCAGGGGTCAGCCCTGAGTACCACCAGTTGTGGCCCAAAACAGCCTCCTCCTCCCTTCCCCCCCAAAAAGGACATCGACCCCAGTAAGGAAGGTGAGCTAGATTACTGACCCAAGAATCCTGACTCACCCTAATCTTTCTCTTCCAGGAATACTTAACTTCAGTTCAAATCGGATTTGTTTTTTCTTTAACTGGAAAGTATGCCTTTGGTTTTTGGGAGGCCACATCCACTGGGGCTCAGCGCTTACTCCTGGCTCTGCTCTGAGGGATTGCACCAGGTGATTCTCAGGGGACCATGTGGGATTCAGAGGAACGAACCTGGATAGGACACCTGCAAGGTTAGCGCCTTATCTGTGACCAGGTCTTGGAATGGAAAGAGGGTGGGGCAGGGAATTTGAGCAGATACCCTAGTTCAGCCTCCACAGTTACTGCCCCTAGGCCAGTGGTCTGAGTTAGACTTGGGAGAGAGCTCAGTTAGGAATAGAAATTATGCCAGACTGGAGAAATAGCACAGAAGTTAAGGCACTTCCCTTACTTGTAGTTGCTTCAGCCACAACCTTGGTTCAGTTCTGGCAGTGTTTATGGTTCCCTGAGCACTGCCAGCGGTCACACATGAGCACAAAGCAAGGAATATCGCCTGAGCACTTTGAGTGTAGCCCAGAGATAGAAGTAGGCCCTGACCACTTCCAGGAAACAAAGTAGAAATTATATTGCCATGTGGGTGTAAAAGTCCTTCTCATGGATAGCTGGGCTTGGAAAGATGCTGAGATGCTGAGAATCTAGGAGATCTCTGGGCATTACTGGTGACATCATTTGAATTCATGGGAGAGGGGGAAGGCAAGTACTACAATCTGCCAGCCCAACAATTAGGGATAAGTATCAACTTGAATAATCAACAAAACTGCTACCCACCCCACTGGGGAAAAAGAGGTGAGGGGTTGAGTGAGAGCTTCAGGGAGGGCCACCGGAGCTCAGACAGGCTTGGGCTCACCATGTCTGAGTGATGTTATTGGTGGGAGGGGGGAAGGGGCAGGACACACCAGGCAGTGCTTAGGGCTTACTGCTGGCTCTGCACTGAGGAATCACTCCTCGTGTGCTCAGGGGACCATATGGGGTACCAGGGATTGAATCTGGGTTGGCCACGTGCAAGGCAAGCATTCTACCTGCTGCACAATTACTCCAGTCCCTAGTGCTCAACCTGTCTAAATGAAGCAACTTGCTGGTTTCACCTAAGTCCCTTCTGGCTTCAAATTCCACTGAGCTCCTCCTAACAGGCTCTGTGACCTTGGGAAAGTGGCCTGGAGTTTCTGAGCTTCTGGGCCCTTATCTTTTAATAATATTAAAGGAACACAACATGCCTTGTTCTTAAGTGATAATAACAAACTAGTTCATTTGTAACCTCCTAGAGGCCAGGAGAGGGAGACACAGAGAGACACAGAGAGCAGCCCCCACAGGAAAGATAAGGCTAATACTGTAGGCGTTTTGAGAAGACACAGGATTGAATTTGACGCAGACTGTAACTGGTGGTGTAAGTCTGGGCTAGTGTCGGAGTTAGAATGCATGTACTGTGTCCCACCCTGGGGCAGGAGTTAGAATGCATGTACTGTGTCCCACCCTGGGGCAAACGGCCTCCTGCCTGCTGTGGGAGGTGGATATTAGCCCACTTCCTTTCTTAGGGCTGCTGTGACCTTGAAGTTAGAGGCTCAAAAGTTTTCATTCACTACGGGCTGGAGCCACAGCACAGCGGGTAGGATGTTTGCCTTGCACGCGGCCGACCGGGGTTCGATTCCCAGCATCCCATATGGTCCCCGAGCACCGCCAGGGAATTCCTGAGTGCAGAGCCAGAAGTAACCCCTGTGCATCGCCAGGTGTGACCCAAAAAAAAGGGAGGAAAAAAAAGCTTTCATTCACTATCTGTTGTAGACGCTTCTGTGCATGGCTAGGATAAGCCGCTACCTGGAGCAGCTAGGAGAGCAGGGTGTGGGCACATCAAGCTAACTTGATAAGAAAAGACACAAGGATACCCTCAGTGGTGATGTGAGGAGGGCATTCCTGGGCACAGGCCTTCGCTTCTAATCTGGGTCCTATCTGGCCAGCAAACTCACCACTGTGTCCACACAGGCTAGCTGGCGCCTGGCCAGCCCGAGGTGTTTCCCTTTGCCTAGAAACCAGGAGGTGTGACTGAGGCCTGGCATGGGGGAGAGAGGAACCCTGTTCTCTCTAGCTTCCCCAAATGCCCAGGACCAGCTCCCCCAGGCTGAAGGAGATACGTGAGTTGAAGGGAAACTACCTGGGAAGGGTCCTTCAGGGCTGAGGGCTTGGAAAGGTGGTTCTTTTATTTATTTATTTGCTTTTTGGGTCACATGGGGTTTGGGGCCAAGCCTGGGGAGAGAAAGGGTGCGGAGGGGGATGAACGCCTTAGGAGGAGGTTCCTTACAGCCCACGGGGGCCAGATGAAAACACCTGAGCCACACGCTCACACTGCAGGTCTGGGTCAGGACGAAGCCCCAGGTGCTGAGAGCCGATTCCTGCGTTTCGGACCATGTTCTCATACTGTCTGGCGTCAGGGGAGGGCATCTGGCCGCCGCTGCAGCCCGTCACCTATGCCTACCTGCCCACGCCCTGGCTACTGCCCCCCATCCAGGCCCACAACTTCTGCAGCCGGCCGCAGGGCATGACCGCAGGTGAGCCTGCGGGGCCCCGAGAATTCCACTACTTCCACGGTCCCACGGCCGCGCCGTCCTGGGGATGGGCCTTCCCGCAGGCTTACGCGGCCGTCGTGCGCCCGCCCTTCCCCGCAGCGGGTTACCAGGGGTCGGCGGGGAGGCCCGAGAGTGGGGCGCCGTGGCCCGAGGGCAGCAGCGTGCAGGCCGAGCTGCGCTGGGGCCGCGTGGAGCGCGTGCTGGGCCCGGGCCTCGAGCTGCCCGACTTCGTGCTGCTGGAGCTGCGGCGCGTGTACGGCACGTACCCGCACACCGACGCGCGCGTCACCTACCGCGGCGGCGAGTTCCTGGTGCAGGCGGCGCCGCGCGCGCGCGAGCCCGAGTACCGCGTGGAGAGGCGCGTGGCGCGCGTGCCGGCCGGCAGGGGCAGCCGCGACAGCAGCCCGGGCCCCCCCGGGGCCACCGAGCGCAAGCCAGGTCGCCGGAAGAAGAGGAGAGGCCTCCTGGGCTGAGCACGTGGGTAAGCCCCGGAGCACGCGCGCCTCCAGCCCCCGCGGCCAACGCTGCCCCTGGCACCTGCATCTGCTCGCTAACCTGGACTGCCACGCTGCGCGTTACTCTCACACTCCTGTTGGCGGGCAGCAGGAAGGCCAGGACTTCTGCGTGCCTGATCCACCTCCGTTGGGCTTGGGAACTGAACTCATCCTCTCTCCAGTTTGTAGCACTGTAGCACAGTCCTCCCAATGTTCATCAATTTGCTCGAGCGGGCATCAGTAACGTCTCACAACAAATTGTGAGAATTGTTGTTACTGTTTTTTAGCATATTGAATACCTCACCGGGAGCTTGCCAGCCTTTGCCAAGTAGGGGAGATACTCTCAGTAGTTTGCCCGGCTCTCCAAGAGGGGTGGAGGAATCGAACCCTGGTCGATCATGTCGGCTGCAAGGCAAACGCCTTACCCACTGTGCTATCGCTCCAGCCCTCCCCAGTTTGTAGTGCAAAGTAATTCAAGGACCTAAGTCCGTTGTCTGCTGTGGGCCAGACAACGACTGTTTTTTTGTTTTGTTTTGTTTTGTTTTTGGGTCACACCCGGCGATGCACTCAGGGATTACTCCTGGCTATGCTCAGGGGACCATATGGGATGCTGGGAATCGGAACCCGGGTCAGTTGTGTGCAAGGCAAACGTCCCACCCCCTGTGCTATTGCTCCAGCCACACAACAACCATTTTCATATTTCGGGTCGGGTGTTTCCCTACCTATGTAACAGGAGCCCAATTTCCTGCTGGGATAGAAGGAGCAAGGGAGTTGCGAGGCCTGGGCGAATCAGAGTGAATGGATCTCTGAAATAGTGGACCTCCCTACCCAGCTGGCCTGGCTGCTCTTCATCCGCTCTCCCCCAGGGTACCGCTGACCCCTCTTCTAGCATCCCTGGTCCTGTTGGCCACCTCCTACCCTCTGAGGGCTTTCTGATCTGGTGATGAGGTGAGAGGCAGAGCCAAGGAAGGGATGCTAAAGACAGACTTCGAACTGACTATTTCCAGTGATGTAAGCGTTCTCTGAGACTCCATGTCTTTACTGTGAATGAATATGACCTCTTCCCCTTCTGCTATAAAGTTCGCTACATTTGGAATATCTGTTGAATAAATGGCACAGTCTCCTGATTCTTGCTAAATTTCTTTGTGTCTGTCTCTGGGGTAGGGATGGAGTGATGGAGTGGGGCAGGGAAGGGGGCCACTGCCCCCAGCTCTGTGTTGGAGAGACGGGAGGTGCCAGGTCTCTTGTGCATGTGCTTGAACTTCAGTACAATAGACTTTTTTCGTTGGGGTGCGGGCCCACCTGGCAATGTACACACCTGGCAATGTTCAGGGCTTACTCTGGCTTTGTGCTCAGGAATCACTCCTGGTGATGCTTGGGGGTCCATATGGGATGCCAGGAATCAAACCCTGGTGGGCCACATGCAAGGCAACACCTTACCCACTGTACAATTTTTCTGACCCTAGTACAACCGTCTTTAATAAGTTGAAGTTGGCAAATATTCTTGATATTCTAGGAGGTTGCTGGAGGGTTAGACTACATAAACAGTTTTAGCTATACTTGGCTCAACTGACAGTGCTTGGATTGAACTGGGGTTGAGTGCATGCAAGGCAATTGCCCTGACCCCCATACTATCTCTCTGGCCCCATGATGGTTGACTTTGATCTTTGAAGCACCAAAGATCATGTTTTTCTCTTTGTCCTGGTTCCTACAGAGCTCAGAGGCAAATCTACTTAGTATCTGGTAGAAATCTTGAAATCTGAACTGATATTTAATTTTTTTTTACTTTTTTATATTTTGTTTGGGGGCCACAACTGGCAGTTCTGAAGGTGTATTCCTGGCTCTGTGCTCAGAAATGACCCTGTGTGTGCTCAGGGGATCATATATGGTGCTGGGTATTTGAACCAGAGGCCCAGCAGAGGGAGACACATGTCAGGAAGTGCCTTACCTCTTGGACTGTCTCTCTCACCCCTTTGCTTTTTATTTTTTTAATTAAAAAAACACAGGAGGGTTGGAGCGAGAGTACAGTGCATAGGATGTTTGCCTTGCATGTGGCCAACCTGAGTTTGATTCCCTGGCACCCCATATGCTCCCCCAAGCCTGCCAGAAGAGATCCCTGAGTAAGAGCTGAGCACTGCCAGATGTGGCCCCCAAACAAAATATAAGCAAACAAACAAACAAACAAAAAAAAACAAAACAGGAGAGTCTTATGATGTGCCTGCTGTGTGACCTTAGGCAAATTATTTTCTCTCAATTTCTTCAAACACAATTTTCTCATCACAATGGAGATGATGGTATCAGTATTTATCTCATAAGATAAAGGGACAATAGCATGAAATTCTGTATACTGCAGTGTTTGCTACAGTACCATGTACCATGTACCAAGTGCACAAATGTTGGTTTTGTCTTGGTTTGTTGGCAGTGCCAGAAACAAAATTCAGAACCTCGTACAAGTGCTGTGCTGATAAGTCACATCCCAATCCCACAAATATCAGTAATCTTTAAAATTTTAATTGCAATACAGAAATACTGTCACTGTCACTGTCCTCCCGTTGTTCATCGATTTGCTCGAGCGGGCCCAGTAACATTGTGAGACTTGTTACTGTGTTTGGCATATCGAATATGTCACGGGTAGCTTGCCAGGCTTTGCTGTGCAGGCGAGATACTCTCAGTAGCTTGCTGGGCTCTCTGAGAAGGGCAGAAGAATTGAACTCAGTTTTAGGTTCGAACTCGGGTCAGGGTCGGCTGTGTCGGCCGCATGCAAGGCAAACGCCGTACCTGCTGTGCTATCGCTCCAGCCCTACCCTGGACTGAACAGAAATACATGGAGCAAAATTTAAAGTCTTTTCTTTTCTTTGTTTTTTACTTTTTTCTTTCTTTCCCTCTTTCTTTCTTTTTTTTTTTTTTTACTCCTGGGTATCTCAGGGATTGGGTGCCAGGTATCTATGGGGTGCCAGGGATTGAACCCAGGAATCAAGCCCAAGTCTGCAGGATGAAAGGCAGGTTTCTTGCACACTGTACAATCTCTCCAACTCTAAAATCTTTTCTAATCTTCACCCTTAAATGAGCCCTAGGGTCCAATATTACCTTTCCTAACTGTTTCCTAAGCACATAGAAGGCATTGCACTGTCTTGCCTATTGCCAGGCCTTTTTTTTTTTCTCATCTTTTTTTTTTCTTTTTTGGGGGGTGGGGGTCACACCCAGCGATGCTCAGGGGTTACTCCTGGCTCATGCACTCAGGAATTACTCCTGGTGGTGCTTGGGGGACAATATGGGATGCTGGGGATCGAACCTGGGTTGGCCACATGCAAGGCAAACACCCTACCCTCTGTGCTATCGCTCCAGCCCCCTTTCTCATCTTTAACTATTAAAAATCCAGCCAAGAGGAGCTGGAGAGATAGTACAGCAGGTAAGGCACTTGTGTTTCACGCAGATGACCTGGGCTCAATCCCTGGCATCCATATGATCCCCTGAACCCTCCAGGAGTGATTCCTGAGTGCAGAGACAGAAGTAACTCCTGAGGGGCTGGAGTGATAGTACAATAGGTAGGGTATTTGCCTTGCATGTGGCCAACCTGGATTCAATCCCAGACATCCCATATGGTTCCCCTGTGCACCTCTAGGAGTAATTCCTGAGTGCAGAGCCAAGAGTAACCCCTGAGCATTACCGAATGTTATCCAAAAAGAAAAAAAAAAAGTAACCCCTGAGCATAGCCAGTGTGACCCAAGACCCAACATTCCCCCCACCAAAGAAAAAAAAAACTCCAGCCAACAAATTTCTTTTTTTTTAATTTTTATTAGTGAGACACCATGAGGTACAGTTATAGACTTACAAATTTTTGTGCTTGGGTTTCAATTATACAATGATCAAATACCCATCCCTCCAGCAGTGCCCATTTCCCACCACCACGGATCCCAGTATCCCTCCCACCCCCCAACCCCCCTCATCCCACCCTGTCTCTGTGGCAGGGCATTCCCTTTTGTTCTCTCTCTCCTTTTGGGTGTTGTGGTTTGCAAAAGAGGCATTGAGTGGCAATCATGTTTGGTCTATAGTCTACTTTCAGCATGCTTCTCGCATCCTGGGAGGATCCTCCCAACACCCTTTATTTGGTGCTCCTTTCTCTATCTGAGCTCCCTTTTCCCTTAGCATGTGTGATTGGCCTCCAAGCCATGGAGCAAACCTCCTGGTACTAATCCCGGCCACTCTTGGGTGTTAGTCTCTTATTTCCAACAAATTTCTTGAATGTATATTTGCCAGGAACTCTTCTAGGTCCTGTGAATAGAGTAGTGAGTGAGACAGTCATGATATTCCCTGTCCAGTGGAATTGGCATTTTGGTGGGAAGAAATGGAGTTGGACAACTGAAAATTAGGTGGCAAAGTTGTGCTATAGGGAACTGGAGAGACAGTACAGGAATTAAGGCAATTGCATTGTGTGCATTCAGGTCGTCTGCATGCAAGACAAACGCCCTACCCTCTGTGCTCTCATCCAGCCCTGTTTTAACTTTAAAAACTGGACTGTATGCTGATAAAATAAACCTCCTCAAATCTTTCTTTTTTGGTGCTGGATAGTGAACCAGGACCTTATACATTAGAGGTTTGCACCACTGAACTACATTCCCAAGCCTCAAATTCTTTTTTGAAACAAAGTGATTTCCAAATAAGTTATAAGCCATGCTCCAAATAAAGTGTATTCTGTATTCTCTTCCCTCCCTGTCCTCTCCTGCCCTGACCCTCACATCTCTCACTCGTGCCCGTCTCCGTGGATCCTCATTGCAAGCAGATGTTCTTCCCAAGGCTTCCACTGAGACCTGGAAATGGCCAGAGGCAGACTCAGCCTTACTCCTGCCCTCGCCCACCTGATTACAGGCCTCCTGAAGGAGGTGCCTCTGCTCTGCTTGGTCCAGGCCCCGGTGGGAGGAAGACAATGCTGCTGAGAGCCTAGATGCTACCTTCTTTGATCTTCTCTTTGAACTTAACCC